CTCTGTGTATTTATCTGGGTCCTTTTTGAGCATCTTTTTGGTTAATTACCGCTCACGACAAAGCTCTGCTTCTCTAATGCTCCTTTAGTGTTAATAAAAAAACCCTACAGTGGGGGAAATAAGTATCTGACCCCTTGCTGATTTTGCAGGTTTGCCCACTTACAAAGAATGCTTATTTTTCCTCATCAGATGGTTATCAATTTTTATAAATTCATATGATGTGATTTTCTGGAATTTTCTTTTGGATTCTGTCTTTCACTGTTAGAATGTACATATGATTAAAGTTATAGATCGTTGCATTCTTTGTAAGTGGGCAAACTGGCAAAATCAGCAAGGGGTCAAATACTTATTTCCCCCACTGTATATTGAACCCTTTTTTGTTAGATAGATGAGAACATGCGCATCAAACCATCAGGAGTTGCTCACCGATCAGTTTAAAACTCCTTTTTGTTTCGGCTTCATCCCGTTTTTACTGCAGCTTCCTCTGGGATCTGGGAGGTTTTCTGACAGGTTCATCACAAAGAAGGCCAAACTAATTATGAGGAGAAAAAGGCTAAACGAACTGATAATGGAAACCTGAATTAAGTTGAGAAAAAACAGATGGCCAACAAGCTTCATCTGTTGGAATATAAACAGATGAACCTTTGTTCCAGCTGCAGGTTTTGTGTTTGGGGGGTCGTGCAGACACCCCGACCCGTTCCTCCTTCTGCCGACTGTCCGGTGCTGTAGCTTTTGCTCCTTTTGACTCTCTGCATCTGTTAAGCCTGATGAGACTTGCAGCAGATCAAAGCTGTTTGCTCGTGTGCTCTAAGAGAAGAGGAAGAGGATCCAGGAGAAACAAACAAACAAACATCCTGAAAAGCTTTTTTTGTGTTGACTCTTTTTTTTTTTTGTTTCTCTCTTCGAGGCAACATTCTGGTCACCAAGATAATTTTCTGGGTTAATCCTGAGCAGGGTTAAATGTGCCAGGCTCTGCAAGTCTTTCATGGTTTACCAGCTGAGAGCTTTTATCTGGTGTGCCGTGTTGTGAGTGGGGGGGCAGTGTTCTGTTGGGATGTGCGCTCTCCTGTGGCTCAGCTATAGAGCGCTTTGAACTGCAGGGTTATTAATTATAATGAAGAGTGTCTGCTGGTGCGTATAAATCAGCGCGATAAGCTGCAGGCGCCGTGGGTTCATCAGAGAAAAGGACTTTAGGCAGAGAGAGCACCCAGAGGACAAAGTGATTATATATACTGAAAACAGCATGTTTGTTTTGGGGGGGGGCTTCGCCCAGTGGGCCCATGACCCCCGACGACCCCAAACACCAAGTCCGGTTTGTTTACTGTGTGCTCTTCAGGTGGGACTTAACTCACATTTTAAGCTCTAATTTAGTCCTTTTCATACATGGTATGAAGTCCCTCCCAAACAGGCTCCACCCTGTTTGGAACTTAAAAGCATGTTTAAGCCCAGACAAGCGCCAGGAGCGGAGCTGCCTCTGGTCAGGCTCTGGTCAGCCTCTGGTCGGCCTCTGATTGGCCTCTGGTCGGCCTCTGATTGGCCTCTGGTCGGCCTCTGGTCAGGCTCTGATTGGCCTCTGGTCAGGCTCTGGTCGGCCTCTGGTCAGGCTCTGATTGGCCTCTGGTTGGCCTCTGGTCAGGCTCTGGTCGGCCTCTGGTCAAGGTGGGTCCGGTGCTTTTTCGCCTTTTCTAACCAACATCGTCAGAGTCCAAAGACTCCTCTGAGGGGAGGAGCCTCCTGAGCTAATGGCGGTTTAGCCTTCAGCCTCTCTCCGGTTGCACGTCCGGCAGCATCGTGATGATGAAGATGTGTGTTGATGTGTTTCAGTGTTCCCGGCACGCTCATCCTCCCGCCCGTGTTGTGTTTTTTGTGGTTTTGCATCTCCCCGCACGACCATCATGCGTCCCCTGAGCCGCCGCTGCCCGCCGGAGGGACGAGCTCTGACCCGCCTCTCTCTCTCTGTTTCAGATTAAGGTGGTGAACGCGTTCCGCAGCTCCCTGTTCGAGCTGGAGAGCCCACAGTCCCGTAGCTCCATCCACAACTTCACCGTGTACCCTGAGTTTGTGCCACAGTCCGCGGAGGAGGCTCGCCTCCAAACCTTAGAGGAGACGGGGGACGAGATCGAAACCCTCCCCGACTCCCCGACCGGGGCTCAATGAGGAGGAGAGCCGCCCGGCGCCTCCTCCCACACCCACAAACCATCCATCCCAGCTCCTCCCCCTCCCTCCTCCCCATCAGCCTCCACAGTCACCCCGCCACCTGAACTGTCACAGTGAGGAGGGAGGTCATGACTGTGCCCATCCCCCACCCTGCACTCACCCATGCTCCACCCCCACGCCGCCCGTTCTGGGCTCATGTCGTTGTGTTCTCATACTGACTGCCGTCGTTCTGCTTGGTCTGTATTCGCTCCATTTCTTTGTTCTCCAAAAAGCGACACTGAACTTTTCAGAGTGCAGAGTTCTTATGTACATACGTTCCTTCGCTCTCCTGCATCGCTACCAGCCGGGTTCCCGTTTTAGGCTAATGCAAAATGTACTGCTTTTTTTAAAAAGATGTTGACCATTTCTTTGTTTTTAAAACCTTTAATGAATGTTCATTGCTGGTTGACTCAGACTTCTGAGAATGTCTTGTGAGTGTGACACTACAGTTCTTCAAAGTTCAGCTGTTAAAACGTTCTTCCCTTTATGGCGTCTCCACGTGTTGCTTTCACTTCAGTTGCTGTGTTGCATGTGGAAGGACAGAGTGTTTACTTCCCAAACGACCAAACATGGTGGCATCTCCTCATCTGCTCCCTTCAGGGTTCTGCCCCCCCCCCCTCCCCCCTCCCCCTATAATAGGATGCATGTTTTGTTCAGTTCGTGTTGAGTCGCATGATAACTTAGGAATGAATATTCTGTTTTAGTCTGCAGCGGAGTCTGCTCGGAGCTCTGTGAGCTTCCCGTCTGTGGAGCTGAACCGGACAGAACCGGCCCGTCTAATGGAAGCCAATCTCTGTCACACACTCTCTCACACACACACACACACACACACACACACACACACACACAAACAAAACACCACCTACTCTGCGGTTCTGGGTCTGTCCGGCTCAGCTGGGGGCAGAACGCGGAGCTCCGAGCGGCTCCGGACCGCCCGCCTGTGTCCCGCTCCGATCTTAGTACTCCTGCCGACCGCTTTCGTTCCGGTTGGTCCGACCCGTTCGGTTGCCACGGCGACGCTCGGGGGGGCGACCGTCGCCGGTCAGCCTGTCGATGAATCCACTGTGTCCCACCTGCCCCCGCCGTCCCCGTCCCACAGCGGCCATCAACCGACCTATGAACTTAGACACCTTACTGACGTAACGTGCTACTACTGCCATATTTTCAACTTCTTTGTCATGACTCGGTTAACCTCGTCCCCTCCGATGAGCTTTTTCTATGTACTCAGAGCCATATTTTATAGGATGTTGTTTTCTGTCATTGCTGGTGAGGTCCCCCTACCCCCTCCACCTCCACCCCCCTAGGCCCCTTAACTCCAAACGCGACCAAAAACCCAAGGAGCAAATCTTCAGTTGTCACTGCCGAACCAAGTTTAAGGACCTCTACAATGTTTACATGAAAAGCGAGTCGTTGGCAGTTTGCCTGCACTTCCTTCATCCGACCACTTCCCTCCGTCATTCCCTTTCTTTCCCCATTCTTAGAGTTACTATTTAACTAAACGGGGAATCTTTCTTGCATGGTTTTCATATAAAATTCAATGTTTTGCTCATTTTTTACAACTCTTCTGTATTTTTATATTAAGTACTTTTTAATATTTTGGAGATATATGAATATATATGTATAGGCTGAAGAGCTTGGTGACAGTGCAGGACATGGAAGAGAGGAATCTACCGAGGACTTTCTGTCTTTTTACAGCTCTCTGAATATTTCTGCCACGTGTGTCGTTTGGTCACCTGATGTTAGGGCTCAGAAACCTGCAGTGACTTGTTTACTTCCTGTTGGCCATCCAATTGGAGTCGTTACAATCCGGTCCCATCGGCCCCCCCCCCCCCCCCCCCCCTTTCAAATGAGTAGAATATTACTTTAAAACATTGTGACCCACCGCACGCACACCTTGTGATTCATCCAACCACATTAGAGTTCAGCGAATGCAACTTGAATTCAGCTAACTGTGTCAAACATTAAATGGGAGTGTACAATTATTTATCCAACATCTGGGTTTGTTTGTTTCTGTGCTTTTTGAGGCTGTTTTCCAGCTGGCAGGTGCTGGAGCCCTATACCACTCCAGAGAGCCAGAGCTGTGTCCTGCCCCAGGCCCCGCCTCCTCCTGCCCCAGGCCCCGCCTCCTCCTGCCCCAGGCCCCGCCTCCTCCTGTCCCAGGCCCCGCCTCCTCCCGCCCCAGGCCCCGCCTCCTGGTCCTGTTCACCCCCTGCTGTGGGCCCAGGCAGCAGCAGCTTTGAGGTCTCTGAACCGGATTCGGGTGGATGGAGGTTGGATGCTTTTCTGGTGGGAGTTCCAGGCCCTCTGCGCTGGTTCTGTGTTGGCCGTGTTGGATCATTCGGGTCCGGTAGAGTTATTTATGCACCAAAATGAGGAAACTAACACAACAGGCCCTCAGCCAAAGT